ATATCTCCACCCATACCGTTTGGTTGGAATGGTGAACAAACTTTGTATGTTTCACCTTTCTTGAGTGACCATCTATCCTTCAAATTTAGTTGTGTAAATTAGTTGATGAAACATGAACTCTTCAGCCTAATTTTTATGTGCTTTCATCTCAAAGTCAATAAGAGATCAGAATGCAAACATTTTATGTGCCACATATGTCCATGGGAATCGTTCAAGTAGAAACAAACATAGGACTTGTAAAGAAATCAACTTGAATTGCATCTAGTGTTGTCTATATCTGGACTATAGTGACAATATCAGACCTTGAATCAGCATCACTTCTATGGCATGTTTTTATTTTTCATTTCGAACCACTTGAACAATCTTAGCATAGCTCTTAAGAAAGGGTAAAACATGTTTGTGTTGTCCTATCTACAATCTGCTTGCAAAGTTCTGCAACAATAGTTTTTATTTGGCTAACTATCTCAAAATTTGATGCCAGCCCTTGAAGCCCTCAACTATGTTTGCTGTCCATTTACTGTACGCATACTTGAAAAGGATGATGCACTCTTGGGCTCAATTTCGGCTAGAGGTATTTTAAATAGGCTTACTTTCATTTAGTTGGACAATAACAGCTGCGTTCCAATTTTAAATGCTCCATGTGCATTTCTTTCTTCAGTTTGGCTATTGGTTCCTTGCATTTTTATTTCTTTATTTATTTATATTTGGTATTGTAGGTCTTGCTTTGTTTTGTTTTGTTTATGCATTTCATTTGCATTCCATGCCTAGTAGATGGTATATTCTTCATTTTATAAAATGATGCAACTTCTCTGTTCAAAGTGTTTCAGTTAGCTTCTCAAGTAACAAACATCAAAAAATAAAAGGAGAGAAAAAATGATGTTATTGCATTTTGGGCTTATGTTTGCATAATTTAGAGTTGTAAGATTTATCTAATGAAGGAATATGTAAGCCAGAAAAAATTTTGATATTGGTGAATACATGTTCTGTTCATTTCCCAGATTTGGAGCCGCCTCGGCAAAGACCACAAACATCAGCAAGAACTGCCCAGAGGATGATTGCTCAGGCAATAGGGTCGAAATTTACATCCACCTTTGGGTCTAGAGAACTGAGAAACCAGGACGAAGCCAGGAACCGAATAACTACAAGGCAAAAGTTGAGAGATGATGCCTGGGGCGATGATTGAATTGAATATAGGATTCTTATGTTAATCAATACATTGTTAACCATCCAAAGGGAAAAAAGGAAAAGCAAAAATGGAGCTTAAATACTTGTTTGCTTGTACTCAACAGGTTCTGCAACACAACTAGGGATAGCTTAATAACCAGTTTCATATTTTCTTTGAAGATTAACGTTGATTGCATGATCGTCTTCACCTATGACACATATTTCTGGAAAAATGTAACTTTGATATCAAACCGGGTTTATAATGCTACTTTAACACCTTCAAAATGTTCAACTTTCACGATAAAACATGTTATTCATTACAAGTTGCTGCCAGATTATCATCATATCCATGATGTCTCTTGGCAATTATTTGAAACAAATGAAAAGCATCCATGCAGCATGCTGTCATTCACAGTTCTAGAGGAGTACTTACGGTCAAAGACTGCTCTGTCATGAACATCACCTAATTAAGGATTTGACATATCCACATTGATTCAACTTCATGATCATGACCATTATCATCATCAATGATTCTAATGAGTGAGATATATGGTGAAGTGGGGATGTTATTTACTTTTCCGCATATACTCTCTACCAGGCCATTTGAAACCTCAAACAAGCGGACCTCTTTCAAATGGGTTAGATGCTCCCAACCATATGGCAATCTCCTCAGCTCTCTGCACCTCAAGACTTGTAGTTCTTCGAGATTTGGCATCGCTCCTCTCTCCACCAGAATCTCATTCAACTGAGGGCACCCCATTATTTCTAAAATCTTAAGCTTTGGGAATCCTTCAATAAACCATAAGCGCTCTCCTAGAAATGCATTACTTAAAAGACTGAGATGCAACAAATTAGGCAATGCTTGGATGTGAGGAAGTGCATCCTCCCACAATTCTGACCACTGTAGGTTCAAGTATTTGAGGTTGTATAGGGTGTTAAACCATCGCGGCACCGTTCTCAATTTCCCGATTAGAAGAAGCTTCTCAAGATGCCTAGGAGCCGACGAAAGAGCATCTAGCTTTAGTGTAGCCTGAGGTCGAGCAGTTAATGATAAGTGGTGAAGGTGTTCCATTCTTTCAACTGAGATGCATAGGGGTATTTCATCAGCTTCTGTTATTCCATCAAGTCCAAGCCTTCTCAATTGTGTCATTTCTTTGAGCTTAATCAAGAAGGCATCCACTCCTTTAACATATGATAAAACTTGCAAACTCTTTATCGTACAAATGTTTAGTGGTACACATATGCCCTCTATAGTTGGAAGAGTAAAATCTGTATCACTTACTACCAAATAGGAAGCTCTTAGATGCCGCAAATTCTGCAACATCATGATTTCATCTGGGAGCTTCTGAATTTTGACGAAGTTCAGGAGTAATGTCAGCAAGTTAGAAAGTCTACCGATCGATTTCGGAAGCTCCTTCACTTGAGTTCTTGACAAGTTCAGATATCTCAAATTGAATAAATCTCCAAATTCCCTTGGGAGTTCATGGATTGGAGCATTCTCTAAATCTAGTACTCTTAACAACTTCAAACCAGATGGCAGTTCATAGTGCAAAGATTTAGAAATTTCGCCAACAACGAAAACAATTAAGGAACGAAGTTGTGACGTACCATTTCCCGGCATTATCTCGCTATCCGTAACTTGAATCGAGTAGCGACGACTTCCTTTTTCTTCTTTCCTCTCTTCCCATCAGATACAGCAACGAATTTTTCTTCTTTCGATATTGAAAGTGCGAAATCTCGTATGAGATCATGCATTTTAAATGCCTTGGGCCTTCCAAAATAGTTTCTCCATGCGACTTGAAGCAAATTTCGTCTAATGAGATCCATTAGGTAGCTCTCAGCAATAACTTCCAGTGGTGTATCATTAGCCTTCTCCAGAAAGCCTTCTGCCATCCACAGTCTAATGATTCTTTTTCGTCCTATGTCGTAATCTTCAGGGAAAATACAGCAGTACAAGAAGCAATGCTTGAGTTGGAAAGGCAAATCATGATAACTAAGTAGTGAGATAGTTCTCACCAATTCAAGTGAAGGGTTGTTGCCGAGCTCCCAATTCAAATTATCGTGAACTCTCTTCCATTCTGCTAACGACTTCTTCGAAGACATCAAACCGCCGAGCGCAGCAATAGCTAACGGAAGGCCTTGGCATTTTTCAACTAGATTTCTTGCCAAGGAATCAAGATACGACGGACATCCTCCTAGCTCGTTTGGAAAAGCTTTCACACAAAACAGTTTCCAGGCCTCATCGATTCGTAGGGGTTGAATTCGGTGGATGTAGCTTACAATTCCGGATTGGAAAGGAGCTACATCTTCTTTACGAGTAGTAATCATGATCCTGCTTCCACGCATACCTTCCGGAAGGGCTATATTGATCTCGTGCCAGAATCGAATGCTCCACACATCATCTAAAACAATAAGGTACCTTCTTGACTGCAAGAATTGCACCAGTGTCTCCACCAATGCTCTGTAGGTCATGGTATCAACTTGCATAGGAACATCTTCATCTGTTTGTTTGTAGATGTCCTTTACCATAGACCTAAACAACTCTTCTATTGCATATTGTTGGGAGACAGTGATCCAAGTGCAGAAATCAAAATGTTGCTTAACATTTTGTTTGTTGAAAGTGTTGGCAACAAGAGTGGTCTTTCCCGAACCACCCATGCCAACCACCGAGACGACGGTCCGTTTCGGTTCTTCATTCATTAGCCATCCCAACAATTCATGCTGTGCTTTTCTGATCCCCACGAGATCGTCGTCTTTAAAGAAAAGCGACGCCTCGCTCAACCTGTTCTTCCAATTAGGATCATGGTGAGAAGAAGCATCAACCCTTTCTTCAAGCTGTTGAACTCCAAATTGGTTGGCTCTCTCTGTGATGCTTTTCATCCTCGTGTTGATATCTTTCAACTTGGTTGCTACTTTATGCCTCACCAGCAAAACCTTGGGGAAATGAAGGGTTCGATGGAGGAAGCTACATTGTCTTTGCCGATTCAAGTGATACATGTATTCATCGATGGCGTCTTCAACTTGGTATGCAAGGTCCCGGATACTTCCGACCCAAGCCTTTTGTGTTTCACTATTTTCACCAGCTCTATCAGCATCCACAAGAAAGGATGTGATGGTTTGAAACAGAAGCTTCATCTCTTGGATTTCATTAGAAATGCCAGCTAAAGAAGAAGCTTCGTTTTCTAGAGTTGAGATGAGTTGGCCAAGAAAAGGATCTAAACTGTTTGAAGCCATTGCAGCTCCTCAATGTGAAGTTGTGAACAATAGCTAAACAGAACCTAATCAACATATAATCTATTAACAAGCTAACATGGTGGTGGGAAAACAGAGAAAATAAAGCAGCAGAGAGAGATTCATACTTTGCAAACAGAAAGATGAGCAAGATTTGTTGATGAATGAGCTGCTTTGCTAATTGCACTTGCCACTAGAGAGAACGTTTCCAGGTCAACACGTACAAGAAAACGAATTAAGAAAACGCGTTAAGTTAAAATAATCAACAGGTTGTTTTTCTTATTTTATTTTAAACAAAAACAATCGTCGACTGAAGCTTTAAATTTGTGGGGCAATGGACCTGAATCGTGGAAAAATCACTTTATCGTTAACATAACCATTAATAATTTAACGGGAACTTAACTAGTATAAATATAATTTCATAATTACCAGATTTATTTTAGTTAATTTTAATATTAATAATTACTCATAAAATTGGATATTCTTTAGTTGCTAATACTCCACGATAAGTATCACATAATCATTAAGCTACAAAGCGTACAATAATTGGATTAACTGGCTTAAAATGCCATCTAGTATGTAATTTAACAAAAATAGCACATATGTAGCAAGATATGGATTCTAGATCATATTCCCTGCAATCAGTGTATTCATGGCTCTCGAGCGAGAAAATGAAGCCGAACCAGAATTATAATGGCTACACAATGTCATCAGGTAGTCTTTCTGGAAAGGTTCTTCATCCCAGAACCCCAACATTTAAGGATCACCGTCCCTGTGGATGGATCTGGCTTGATCACAAATTGAACATCTAGAAAATCCTTGATTTGCCTTAGCGTTTCAATTCCATATGGTGACAATTTTCCCACACGAACCTTTGAAACATCTTTCGGACAAAGTGCACAAAGAAGGAATAACAAACCCTACAAACCAAACAATGGGTTATGCTGTTAAGTAACCACATACACTAACCCAAAACGAAATATTACAAGAAGTAGCTTATGAAGTTTCATCTTTATTCTGAAGAAGAAAAAAAACATTCTTATCAAGATAAATCTTATGTTTCAAATGGAACTTGATAAGATGCCACATGGTAAAGCTTAGATGTCAAACCCTGGGTAAAAACCAGTTCTTTTGTATGACAAGTCTACTAAGTTAAAAAAGATGATTAAATATGGAATAACTTCCATTTTCTTGGCCAGTTAAGATATTTCGATTTCCTAAAAGGAAAAAATATGGAAAATAGAAAGGAAAACAAGGATCAATAAAAGCAGAACAGCCAGAACTAAACCAATATAATCAGTATGAAGACAAGGCCAATTGGCCATATTGTTATAAAGATTTTAACAGGAGTCCACTTCCATGTTTACAACTTAAAATCTTTTAAATCTCTAGTGGAAGATAAACACAACAGGACAAAATAAAGGAATGATATGCAAAAAAAAATATTTACTAAACTTGTATGTATCCAAATCAGCAGATTAGCAGAGGTAGAAAGCTTTTGATTAATGCAAACACTGCCCATCTTCTTTGATTCATGCTAAACATGAAGACTTCATTTTAACCCCCCCCCCCCAACACACACACAAAAAAAAAGGAGTTTTAGATTAGCATAATATTCTAAACAAAAAAAATCACATTTTATGTAAAAATTATCCTAGTCACTGCTCATACATACAAACAATACTGTATACATGATAAGCAATAAATTTAAAATTTAAGCTATTAGTTCAATGTTAATGAAGAATGAAGACAGAGTGATATCACGAACATAAAATGGCATTAGAATAATGAAACTGGACGAGTGGCAGGTTAATGGAACAGAAACTTTGAAATACAAACCTGGTGAGTTGAATCCACCACTCCACCTTTCTCAATCTCTTCAAGAAGCACAGAAGCAATTTTCTCACCAACATCAGCTGCAGGTATCAGCTCTTTCTTGTCCTCACTTTCAATATCTTCTGCTTCTCCCCCATAAGAAATTGTAATATCAGCAGAGATGCAGCAACCAGAAGTAGTTTCAGCAACTAGTGAAATTCCATATCCCGGTGAGCTGTGTATTAAGGGAAAAATTTTGAAATTTCCTGGTTACGATAAAAAAGGAAAAAAAAAGAAATTTCAAAATATAGATAGTGACCGTACTTTCCAGATCCGGCCTCTAAGCGCTTTCTATAATCACTAGCGATATAAACATCAGGAAGCAAACGATTAAAAATTCCACGAGCAGCATATATCATCTCATTTCCGAGCTGGGGACTCACTCTGGTAGTGAAAGCTTCCCCTCTGATTCTCTTAACCATTCCTTCATCAGTCCACATGGTTGCCTGTACCAAAAAGTGTGATAAATATCACCCAAAAAAATTGAAGTAACATTAGATTAAAAAACTCACTCTTAGGTGCTGAACATTAGGAATTGTCAAATGAACTTCACCACCACCATGAGGTGAAACCCCACGACTCTTTATTTCCAACTTTAATCCTTCTGAAGGAACCCCAAAATGCTTCAACATGGGAAAGGTAGTGGAACGGAAAGTATCGACAGATGGGTCCTTAGAATCATTTGTAATCCCTGAAAAAAACAACATATGGAATGGCAACCACTTAACTTTTGTATTACAACAAGGAAATCATATGCATTAGCATTATGGTGAAAAGCAATACCAGGTTTGAGAAAGGATAATTAAATACTAGTTTACATGCATTACATAAACGATCCAAACGATCAGTGAAGGTTATCAAAGGTAGTCTAATCATATGAATCAAAATGACCTATGACGCTTTCATACTTCAACATTGAAATAATATACCTTCCGATTGTATGTCATTAAACATTGCACAATAATACTTCAAAACTCAGATGAGTTTTTCCTAGCAAGGGTGACCAAGGAGCATATTAACAGAAAATCAAGGAACCAACGCAAAAAAAAAAAAAAGATTCTAACAAAAAAAGGATTACCTTTGAGGATTATAGCTAGGGGTTTCCTAGCAAATAATCCAAGCAAGATCAAAGGCTCCAAAAAATACCCAATTGCTCTACTCACACCACAATCATGCACCAGATTACTACCTCCAACTATTATCCCAGGCTTGTACTTCAATTTAGTACCTATCAATCAAATAGCACCAGTAGCTTTTAAATTGTTTATTACTATTTTCAACTGAAAAGCTAATAGCTCAGAGGGGACAAAAAAAGGGTTACCGGTTTCGTTGATTTCAACGACGCAGTCATCGGTGAGGTTTTCAAAAAGATGGAGGAGGGTAATCTCATGTGGCCGGAGGCCAGGTAAAGTGTCGTCGGCGTGGATGTCTTCAATGAGAATAGGAGTTGATTTCAACGTTGCTAAGAGTAACCTTTGCCTCATGTTTTGACTTCCCTTCAGTTTCTTATACGTTATTTTCCCCATTCAACTTTCCTTCTTCTTCTTGGCGTTGATCTGTAGAGAGGGAGGCGAGAGTTTTGGTTGAAACGGGGGAGATTCTGCCCGGGAAGAAGAGATTGAAGGGTTTTAGGGATTTCACTAAACCCTAAAACTAATAAAGAAAAGATTGGGTTCTAGTTCGTGGGCTGGAGTTCCTAGTGCTTCAAACAAAATATTGACGCAAATATTGTGTCTTTTATTATAAAAATATGCTTTTATTTTAATTTGCTTTTTTTATAAATTAAATCTTTAAATTATACTTGTTTTATTTTAGGTATTTATTTTTTCCATCAAATTAGTTGTATAATATTTCATTCTTTAACTTTTTATTAATTCCTCTATTAAAATATTTATCCTCCATTATAAGTTTTTCAAGCTTTAAATTTTTTATTCAATTCGTCATTTTAAGTTGTGTTATACATTAATCATTTATAATTTATTTTAAAAATAATTATATTTTAATTAATATTTTCAAGAAAACTTATAAATAGATGAGATTAGGTATTAACTATGAATGTAATTTTATTAAAATAATTTAAAATAATAATAAGATAATATTTATTTAAATTTTTTTAGTTGGGGGCATGTACGAGTGAAGGTTTCATTGTATTAATGTAAAACCAAGGTTTAATGTAAAATTAAGTATCCCAACTATAATCAAAGTTAATTTTTGGTGTTTAAAGAATTTTTCGTTAAAAATATGTGCTTAATGTTTTCTACGTTACACTTTTAGGTGTCTACCATTAAAAAAACTTTAAGTGACATGTGTCGCATTTATATTTTTTCTAACATTTTAAGAAAAAAATATTATTTAAAAAAATAAATCCCTCCGACCCCTGCCGTCCCTTCCCTCCCATTCGCCCCCTGCTTTTTCTCCCTTTTATCCCCCACCTTCGATGATGAAAAGTCACTATCAGCTGAGCTTTGTTCGGAGTATGATGAAGAACTCAATAGTGGCGGCCATGTAACTAGGGGCGGAACATCGGAGCCTTGGCCCCTGCCAATTATTTTTTAAAATATTAATTAATATTAATATATATATATATATATATGAAAATAAATAAATAAAATTTTACCAGGCTCCCCTTAATTTAAAAAAATTGTATTTGTGAAAAATAAAAAATACATAACCCGCTATAATAAATTTATAGTTCTGCCCCTACATGTAACGCACAAGAGTAGTTGGAATCACCAAAAAATAATAAAGGAAAATCTTGAATTCCGACGACCCTTCGTGACACTTTTCATGACGATCGACACAGATTCACGGTAGGTGAGGGACTAGATTTTGGTTGCGACAGCAAGACGATTATGATGGTATCAACGATGACAACAATAGACCGACAATGGCTGATCGGCGGTGGAAGAAACAAATAATATTTTTAAGTTTTTTTAAATAAAAATTTTAAAAAATATATAAACATAACACATGTCACTTAAGGGGCAAAATTAATAGACGTTACGGCGTACGTACATAAAAGTGTAACGTTAAAAACATTAAATACCTAATTTTAACAAAATATTATTTAAACACTTAAAATTAATTTTAAATATAATTTAATCACTTAATTTTAGATTAAGCCTAAAATACATTCAAAAATTTTACCTACAATCATTGACAACCCAATAAGATCATCATATGCCCAAGAAATTGGCAAGTAGTTGTACAAGTATTCTATTAAAAAAGTATACAATTATTATAATAATAATTAGGGTAAAGTATAGTAATGGTCACTGAACATTTCTGAAACTTGCATTTAGGTCCCCCAACATTTAAAACTTGCAATACAGTCCCTCAACATTTATTCCGTTTGCAATATGGTCCCCCAACTTAAACCACAGTTAGAAAATTAGGATAAATTATATAAACGGTCATTGAACTTTTCAATCACTTGAATTTCGGTCCCCCAACTTTTAAAACTTGCAAAACAGTCATCAATTTCATTCTAAACCCCAATTTCCAAAGTAATTCAATTTTATTCTAAACCCTAAATTCTAAAATACTTCAATTAAATTCTAAAATTTCAATTTAAGGTAATATAGGCTTGAAGAAAGAGTTCAAGGCACAGACACAATGAATAAAAATATATTTATATAAATGTATATTTATATTTAGATGTATAAATAAAAAATATATTCATATATTAATGTATGAATCATTTATATTTTTTGAATATTTTATTTTTAATAAGAAATTAAAATTATTAATTATATTAGAAATAAACTTAAGATTATATATATAATCATGAATTATAAATATGAAAAATATAATTATTAAAGTTTATATAAATCTTAAATTTATTCTTTTAAAATATTGTATCAACTAATATTTAAAAATATATTAAATCTATCAAACAATTTATCAAATATAATATTTTTTTATTGTAAAAATATAATATTTTCCCATCATTTATTGCTTTCAAATTTTTGCCGAAGTTCAAATCTCATTATTTCCATTTTACATTATATTCTTTTTTTTCTGGCATTGGTCATACTATTAGTATATGTATTATTGTATATCTCTTAACACAAACGATGGTGTTAGCTTAGTGGCTCCACCCTATATCTTTCATTTGCGTGACTCAGGTTTGAGTTTGCCCAAGACCCAAATTTTACTTCTTTGTAACTTAATTTTCTTCTAATTAGGAGGTGACGTGTGTCACCAATAACACATATCATGATCATGTGTTAACACATGTCAGATCCTGATTAAATGATTAATTTATTAAATTTATTTAATTTAGGACCAAATTGATAGCATATATAAATAATTAGGTGGTAACACGTGTCACCAATGACACGTGTCATGATCATGTGCTAACACATGTCAGATCCTAATTAAATGATTAATTTATTAAATTTTATTTAATTTAGGACCAAATTGATTATATAAATAATAAAGACTGAATGTATAATAATGTCAATTCCTTTTAACTGCCACATCATCATTTTTATCAATTGGTAACGACTAGTGGCTTAGTTGAAACAGTTAAATAATTATGTGGTATGATTGATAAATTTAAAAGATCGATGACAAAAGTAAAAAGGGCTAGATAGTTAAGTTGTCAACCGAGTAGTTTACACTTTTATTTATACGTCAAAATAACATTTTATAAATTTAAAATTCGAATTATTTTCAACCTCTTTTATATCCTAACTACTTTTTTTAATTAAAAAAATTTCTTCAACAGATAAGAATTATACTATTATATTTATATAAAAAATACGTATCACATGAAATAAGATGAAATTAAATAATAATAACTTTGACATAATTGAATTTAATTTAAGTATTTTGGAATTTAGGGTTTAGAATAAAATTGAATTACTTTGGAAATTGGGGTTTAGAATGAAATTGATGATTGTTTTGCAAGTTTTAAAAGTTGGGGGACCTAAATTCAAGTGACTGAAAAGTTCAATGACCATTTATATAATTTATCCTAATTTTCTAACTGTGGTTTAAGTTGGGGGACCATATTGCAAACGGAATAAATGTTGGGGGACTGTATTGCAAGTTTTAAATGTTGGGGGACCTAAATGCAAGCTTCTGAAATGTTCAGTGACCATTACTATACTTTACCCTAATAATTAATATATGCGATAAAAATCAACCCCCTCTTAATCTTTCATAGTGTTTTATATTCGATAAATATATAAAAAGAATCTGTCAATTGAGATTATACTTTGACCGCCAATCTTAGTTATAATTGGTCTAAACTTTGTACCTAATTCTTGGTATATTTTGGAGCAAAGTTGTAACCAATAAGTAAATAAAATAGATTTTAGGTCTTTTGGAGAGAAAAAAACTAATAGGTTAATATAAAACTCGAAAAATAAAATCAAACATTTAAGTGTAAAATTAAAAATAATTTTCTGTGAGAGATACGACTCTTAAAATAAAATAAAAAATGTATCAGGAAGATATAAAACTAGAGAAGATCCCAAATATTTTCAATTAAAATATAAAAAATTCAAAGATTTTATTTTAAAGTTTCATGTTTAAAATTTAATTGATTTAATTTAAAATTATTTAGATACTTAATCTTTATGCATATTAATTTGTAAAAGAATATACATTAAATAGACTTAAAATAATTGATAATGAATCTATTGAATGGTCTTGATGATAAAAGAAGATAATAGTCTCTCTAAAGGACCAAATTCGAATAGTTGCATTTGTAAGAGACGTGTATATTATTAATGATTAATTTTATTTTAACAAATATTATCTTAGAGTCACATCGTAATATTAAAAATTTGATAATACAAAATTTGAATTAAGATAAATAATGATTTAATCGCCATGTGAATGATAATTTTAGTACATTATACTATATAAACAAATAAATTAGATGATGAGGTTTACCCAAAGCTAAACTTATAGTCGACAGTGTATTTATTGATTGATTTTAGTGGTTAGAAGGAAAATTGTTTTTTTTTTATATTATGAATTTAAACAATTATATTTGTAGAATGATTATGCACTATTAATAATTAAAAAAATATATAGATATATACTATCTTTTTACTATAAAGAAGAAAAAAACCTTATAGTCGGCTGTTTACAATAACATTGGTGAGCGAAGAGAAGTTTGAATTCCATTCCACGCATGGCTGTCATTGTTGGTTTTGTTTGGTGTTTCATTCCAGTCCAAGTCGCCAGGTCGTGCCCCATGCCAGTCTTCTCTTTTTGTCGGCATATAATAAATTTTGGAAATTGCTAAAAAAATTATTAAACCCCAAAGCCAGAAAATGGAAGAAATTACCCTTGAAATAAACGTTCGTCATGGCCACCTTGTTTTAACCGCGTGGTTAAAGGAGTCAGGCTTGTAGGGGATCCCTTTTGACCCACCATTGTCCTTTTCCTGCCTTCGAACCACTAAATAACTCCCAAATGGCGGTTCATTACCAGTTGGAAGGGATTTTCATACCCAATGTGATTAGGATTGGTGACCATTGAATAATCTGAACGACACTTTTAAGTATACTTGGAACTATCCCTTGTTGCATATAAATATAAGCCACTTTCTCTTACCATTTTGGCTCTAATCTTGGAATTTGAGCTTTTAGCTTTATACTAATGGATGACGTTTAAATACCTCAATATTTCATCTGTCCGTTTTGCCGTCCGGTTCCGAATTGACGCCGAACCACACGCTTCAACGGTTGAGTCAGGCTTGGTGTTCGGCAAATGCGGGCGGCGGTGTCGATAAGGTTCCTACCCGGGAGTCTCCTCTATGTAAGATTCGTCTTCTTGAACTCGTTCGTGAACTAGACGTTCCTGGTTTGTATGTAAATGCTTTGAACGAAATAGAAGTCCTAGGAAAGGACAATGAGGGGAACAAGAAGTTCATGGAGGACGCTGGTGTAGCCAGAGCTGTGATCTTGTTGTTGATACGATGTTACGATGAAAGTAAAACGATGGGGACTGAACAAGCTTTGAGGATTCTCTGTCATGTTTGGACACCATCAGGTGAAATCAAGGCATTTTTGGATGAAAATCATCGGCTCATTGACTGTCTAACATGGATTCTCGGGTGCGAAGTCGAGAACCATGTCCTCACCAAGACTCTCGCAATGCTTTCATTGAAACGGGTGATCGAGGCATCCAATACGAGGTCGTTGGAGAAGTTGAAACCCGAGTTCATGAAACAAATGTTAACGGTAATTAAATCGAAAATCTCTCAACAAGCGACCAAATCCTCCTTGCAAGTTCTGATCCAAGCGTGCCTTCAAGGACGAAACAAGATGAAGATCGTCAAGGCCAACGCGATCTTCGAGCTCATCGAATTCGAACTCGAGAAACCGGAAAAGAACATATCGGAACTGATCTTCAACCTTCTGGCACATCTATGTTCATGCGCCGATGGTAGAGCCGAGTTTCTTCGCCATGCGGGAAGCATAGCGATGGTGGCGAAAAGGATCCTGAGAGTTTCTCCGGCAACCGATGATCAAGCCGTTTGCATACTTTCGTCGATCTCGAAAAATGCAGCAACAAAAGAAGTACTTTTAGAGATGTTGAAGGTTGGGGCAGTGACAAAGCTATGCATGGTAATTCAAGCAGATTGTCCAACATATCTGAAACAGAAAGCCAGAGGGGTCCTTTGATTGCACTCTAATTTGTGGAGTGATTCTCCTTGTATTGCTGTTTATCTGTTAACCAGGCACCAAAGGTAACTCATGGTGACAAAAGTAAAAAAAAAGATTACAGTTTGTAGTTAAAAACATCGTGATTGATTAATACAGTCATATTCATAATGACCAATATCAATAAATGTATATACAATATTCATCAATTACACTTTTTATCTTTAATTTTATGCAATTTTATAGATGAAACTTTTAATTTAATTTTCAAAATTTACCATCATAGTTATCAATGTATTATATATCATTTTGTAATTAACATATTATAATAAATACAAAGAATTATATTAATCTAAAATAAAAATAAATTGATATATGTGTATTTAAAATATATATAATTAAATCAAAATAAAAGTTATATATATAATTTATTAAAAAAATCATGTATATAGTTACACTAAATCAAAATTTATATATTATACAATACATTTAATCAAAATTCATGCTGATATTTAATATGTATCTCTTTGTTAAGTTATTTATTGAATTTGACAATCAAATCAAATCTATTTTATGATTCACGCCACAAAAACGTGTATATATTATAAACAATTTTTGTTGAACGATTCATGTAAAATAATATTTGATGCGATAGGTAAGATTGTTGAACCAATTTTAAAGTTCATATAAATATAAGAATTTGATCTTAATTTAATCAATACTATTATTGTTATAATAATTTAAAACATGTGAACTAAACGTTTAATATTCATTAATTTAATTTTAAATTTAGAGATTTACAAATAATTTAATCAATCTAACAATATATAAAATAGTTAATCAGTTGTTGGGAGTTGAAACATTTTTGTGTGTTTGGAATATAATATATGAAGTAAATTAATATTGCGTCACATTGGAGTTCACTTATATTATAAATTTAAACAAAATAATTATAACTTCCAATTTCATAGCTAACAATAAAATTATGAATTTAGAAAAATAATTTAACATAGAAATAGAATCAACTCGAATTTCAAAACCATCCATGTATAGGGATATTTATCGAGTGAGTCGATCAAGAGTTGAGAAGTACTTGATTCGTGCTCGTTAAAAAAATTTATTAGTCAGCTCATGTTCGTTAAAAAAATTCGTTGCTTGTTAAGCTCATCAAAATTTGTACCTTATTTTTTAATTATAGGTAAATTTTACTAACATTATATAAAGCTTAATATAAACATAAATTAACATTTAACCAAAACATTATCAAAATCTGTACTATATAAGGTTTGATTTTTTGGTATAATAAATTATTAATTTATTTTTTTGTTTATTAGAAAATTAATAAATTTATAAAATAATAATAGTTATTAATTAGTAGTTTATTATTTATTAGTAAACTAGTAGTTGTTATTTATATTTTTTTCTGAATGTAATAAATATTTAAGGTAACTACTAAAACAAATATTGAAATATAATGAATTGCTCGCAAACTTATTGTGTCGAGTTGAACTTTACTCGACTCAAATTGTTAAAATCTCAAGTCGAACTTTAATTTAAATCGAATCAATCTAAATCAAAGACTAATTAAATTTTAAAAACATCTCACGAACTGTTCAACTCATTAAACAAATTATATCCGTCTGCTTTTATCATTATCTCTTTGGATCGTATGTGAATCTTCTAGAAGTTTTATTATATGGCTTTCAAAACATTTGAATTCCACACCCATTTTTCTATGAATGGAGTAGCTGCATGGGCGGCCTAGCTTTGTATTTTATCCATTCTTTTATGAATTTACTATTACATAAAAAATTATAAAATAAATCAGCCATTAAGCTTTGAATTTAAAAAATTAGTGAAATTAAACTCCCAATCTTTTAATTTTTATAGTTTAATTAATTTTTAGGACCCTATTTATTTTAAAGTTAAATAATTAATCCCCTCGTAATTCAATTATGATTTCATCTTTGGATAAAGGATTATTTTATAATAGGATCTATGCAGAGCCAACTCATAAGTGCATGAGCTCCAGCTCAGGGGCTCAGGGGATCATTCTTTAACTTTAATAAAATAATAAAAATAATGTGTTAGACAGTATTATAAGTTAATATTATAAGTTAATGTCCACCGTTTATTGTTTTAGTTGTATTTAAAGTGTTTTCTTATCAAAACAATAAAAATTATAAATTTGACAAATTTTTATTACGTTTCTATGATTTATTAATAAATTAATAAATTAATTATTTAAAATTTGTAGAATATACTTTCGTTCTATATGAGCCTAGTTTTAAAATTTTACTTTAAGACTTAAAAAGTAGTTGAGATATCTTTGGGATCCATGTGTTATTTGATCGACATATTTTTTAGAAATACGATCGATTGTCTCTTAGCTTTCCAATTGTACATGAAACACACTAATTTGCGATTTGAAACTCAAGATATTATCATTTTAATAAAATATCGCATGCAAAAATATTTATACGGGTTAATTCGGGTATTTAATATCTAATATGGATTAATAAATTGGAAATTAATAATCTTGAAAAGCTAACATTGAACTTTTTATCCTTTCCTACTTCCTCACCGAAAAATAATATAGAATATTTTCAAAGAATAATTAACAAAATTCTCATGAAAAGAGTCTCTGCATTGACAAATATTTGATTATCCCTAATAAATTTGCATAGTTCCAACATTAGTTGCATGGAGAGACGTGCTTTAATTTCACCCCATGCCTGTTTCAATCTATCTACACACACTATCAAATAAAAGAGCACCAATCTCAAGAAGATGGATAATAAGACAACAAATGAGAAGGGATACAAGAATGGTTCCTCCAAACCCTAGCGTGCAATTTCAATATCTCCCTTGCTTTCTCCTTTGTCTTATAACCATTATCAAGTTGAAGAACCAAACAAAGCTTTGCCACCACCCCAACCTGCAACATCTCCTGAAGAACCCTAGATGTTGCCGAGAACCTGCAAATCGATGATAGTATCCTCACCGCCCTCTCGCTTGCCGCATGCGAAACCCTAAATATCTTCTTCGACACCATCGCTATCCCCGCTCCGTGGATCATGAACTCCGCCCTTCCTTCGGCGCAACCGCAGAGCTGATCTAGAACGATCAATGCGAGTTCCGAAACTCGCTTGCTCGAGCTCTCGAGGAGAAGCTCGACCAACACGAACACGGCTCCTTCCTCCACGGCTTTGATCCTGTTTCTTCCCCATGGACAAAGCTCCATTAGGAGTTTCAATGCTGCCTTGGTGGCTTGTTGAGAGATCTGGTCTCGTAAAGTGCGTACGATCTCGGCCAGGAATTCGGGTGTAGGGCTGATCAAATGGATTGGATCCGCCACTTGGAAGACATTATTCAATAGAATCGTGGCGTATGCTCGAGATTGGTAGCTACCATTTTTCAGGATTTGAACTAAAGACTCCACAAACTCATTATCATTGTCGACGATTCTCTTTAGACAGCTTTCGGATACCTTGATTTGATAAAGAATGCTCAACGCTTCGTCGCAAGCTTTTATAACTTCAGACCATTGGTTGCTCTCCATTTTAAACGACGAATCATAACTCCTGATGATCGATACAAGAAACTCAACTGCACCGGTGGCTTCCAGGCAGCTCCTGTTTCTTTCACCTTCGAGGGTGATTGATCTGAGGCTTTCAAGGCATTTGACTTGCATCTCAGGGAACTTGTTGGCATCTTTAATCAACTTGGCGATCTGGGTTTTGTGGATCAGAGGCTTGGGTGTCGGGATTCTTTCGATTCCATGGGAAGCATTGAGAGTGCACCATGCTTGGATCAAGCGACGAAGAGTATGGTTCGGGGTTAGATCTGAATCCCCGTCCAACGGTTGTTTAGTCACCGGACATACCTTGTTCTTGGATGAAAACAACCATTGCTCTATGCTTTCTCTATCGTATGTTATCCCGGTTGAGATCGCAACTGGATCTCTCATTAGTTGAAGCGAAATCGGACAAAGAAAATGAGAAGGAATCTCAATTTCATCCATAACTTTTGGTGTATTACTAATTCTATAGGGGAAAAAAACAAGAAGCAGCTTTTTATGAAACTATATCCGGAAAATAAGATGGTACCAGATAAAGGATGGCAAAAAAAAAAAGTGAACTTAAACACTTGCCAAAATAGCTGGTTGGAGAGAAGCTTTCTATATGAATGGACAAGTGCAAGTTGTTCAATATCAATGAATATAAAGTCAACACACGCATAATTAGAGGGAAATTAAATTAGGACCATTTCCAAGGTTTTGTAAGAGAAAGGCTCTAAAATAAAAACACTACTTCCAAGGTATAAAAAAATGGGCAAGACTTGTTTCGTGAGGGCAATAAATTTGGGGGAGCTTCGAGACAGGTGTCGGTGTTGCAATGGGCGTTTGTTGAGCTTTATTGGTTCTTTGACTTTATTTTTTTGGATTAAAGTAAGACTTTGTTTGTTTTTTACGTGTATTGGGTGTGGATCATGAATGTTGCATGGCTGGTGCCGACAAGTCCTCATGTGGCTCGTGGATCTCCCGCTCTCCGCGCGTCTCATCGGTTGTTCCTTTAAGAACTCCATTTATGTGCTACTCCTAATTTCAAATTTCTTGTTTAATGCGGCTTTTACTTTGGAGTTGGAGGACGGGGTCAATCTAAATGGATTGATTGCCTTTAACTATCAACATTTATATATTTTATTAATTCAATCTTTATTGTACTTTTCTCATGCATCTTATACGGGTCACACTAACGTCTATCGAATTTTGAGGCTTTCAATTTCTATATCCTCCAATCAACAATTCCTTAATACGATCATTGATAGACTCATGTGATCTACTAATTATATCTATTACATGATAGTAAGATCAATTTAGCTTGCCAACCTATAAATAACTATCATCACCTTAGACCTAACACTAACTCTAAAGGTATGTATATAAATAAAAAATCACTATGCAGTATTGGAGAAATAGAGACTCGACTGTTCATCATCTTCATCAACTCGTTTATTCTCTCTTTCTCATCCACTACAACTCCCCTCAATAGCCTCTATTCTTTTTCTAAGTTAATTTGATCATTGATTTTTAAACAATTATTAAAATACTTATTATTAATATAAATATTATATTTAATAGTGATGAAATGGCACTCTACATGATAATCTAATGTATTTTGTGATTATATAAATTATGACATTATTTATGTTATATATCAAATTAATAAATATAAAAAATAAAAAAATCATATTTCTTTCAAGAGAAAAAAGTATATGATTGTTGACATAAAGCAAACAATATATATATCTAAGCAGAAAGGAAATAAGCATTGCGGTAAAGTGTAGATCTCAATAAAATGGGGGAATTGGACATATTATCCGAGTGCATGAATGATTGAAAGCAAGTGTCCAAGTTCAAAGGTGCTTTGGTTTCGTAAGATAAATAAATTGTTATCGTAATAAGACTAATATGTAAAAAGCATAACCCCAAAACAATACAATTTTGATTGCCGAATCTATTGAGCGTATTAGCGATAAGATGAAATATTGTTCTTCCTAAAAATTTCGAATTCGATCAATTGTATCTGTATAATGTATATACATTATCAAGAGTTTAATAAAATTCTTAACCGATATTGTTTTATAATCACTCAAACTGATAAAAAAATTCGAGTGCCAAAAGGGCAGGCAATTAAGGGCAGCACAAGTTGCGGGAATTGGCTCGAGGGCAGTAGGGGATGAGCAAATTAAGGAAGGTGGTCATGCAGGCCTGAGCTGTATATCTGGGGATCCAGGAATCAGACAATTGATTATCGAGCGGTGCCGGCACCAGACATGGCAATGTCCACCAATCACCTCCTACTATAAAATTATTATAAAGATAAGGTTGGAGGAATCCTCATTAATCATGCAACGTTTATTTTAACTCCTTTTTTAATGTTTTCAACGCAGAGTATTAAAAAATTAGGTTTACAATTTATTTGTATTGTTTAACTGTTCAAACTGCAAACTGTTTTTCAGACAGCTCGTCTTCCAGTTTATATGTTAGTTTTTTAAACTTTTCGTTTATTTCAATGCTTATGTCTTCATTTTTCTAGTTAAATATTGTGTTAAACGCAACTATTGGACGCAGATACTTAAAAAAATATTAATATTTCTATGAAATATATTTTTAAACAATTAGTAGAGTCAAGCTATTTGATTATGAATATGTAGAAATCTTTAAACTTTTTTATGTTTATTATTAAAATCCAAACTCAAATTCATGCTTGTAAATTCTCCGGAAATCCATTAGCATGCGTGATGAGAGACTATATTGTGTCAACGAAATTGGATTTGGACCACAATAATTTATAATAATTTATAACACCAACTTGTGTTGTTTACATTCAACCACCCGCAACAAATGTCATGAATTGTGTTCTTCAATGAAACCTATACTTTCTCCAACTTTAAGTTTCAATCTCCATCACCCGATAAATTATTTTATAAACCCTTTCCACCATGTCATCAATAGTCCTAACCAATTAAAAGAATTCACCTCAATTTTTTTCCATGTCATTTGCACACAGATTTGTTCAATTCACCTCAACTCCTTTCTACCATTGTCGTCGCTCATTTGTTCAAGTCGTTCATCGGCTTTTGCCAATTACTGCTCAAGGGTAGATAGCAACACAAATTTCTATCCAATAAATGGTAGTGAGTTACCTGCAACAATAATAACCCGGATGCACAAATAATCCACCCTTGAGCAAATAATATATACATATTCATCATAAGGTGAAGCTAATGGAGTCATAGTGCAGGTTTCGAATCAATCCGGGTGCATAAATATCACAACAGCGTGCTGCGTCTTCCTTGATTCACACGAAAGAACTCTTACATCTAATTCTTTTAAATCGAATAATATTTCTGCACTGTAATATCAAGATTAACCATGAACTTTGATCTGTTGTTGGAGAAGAAAAGGTATTAATGAATGCCCTAAAAATAATCCTTAAATTTAGATTCAATATTGATATGCATTCATGAAGAAACTTATTTCATAAATAAAATCCTTGTGTGACACTAACTTATGGTATACGTCAACATCACTATTAAATTTTTAACGGCATCATACTAAAATGAAACTTAAACTAAACATTAAATATGAATTTGAAAAAATATTTAAGTACCAAAATAGAATAAAAGTAATAATTTAAATATTAAATGTGTAGTTTACCTGGTTTATTAACAATTGGTATAATTCAATGAAAGTTGACCAGCACACTCCCCATTTGGGTTCGGCCTCTATTAGGCCAGAACTCTGATGACCTCGGTCCATATATGATATCTAGTTGGCTACTTGGATGATGTCCAAGTATGAGCTCATCTCATATGTAATTCGTTTAATTAATAGTACGAGATAATTATAATATAATATTTATTTAATTTTTTATTTATTGAAAAAATATATAAACCTTTTAAACACAATTATTTAAATTCGAATTGGAAAGAATAATACTATTTTTTATCATCAAAACCACTTAATAAGTTTAATTAAAAAAATAAATAATAAGGGAATCTACGAGAGAACACGAGGACATAAATTCTAGGAAAGCAAACTTTAAAATGCAAGCCACAAGCCCAAAATAAATAACTGTCAATAATTGTGGCAGCAGCCGGCTGCTAATTTAGTCTAAGTGGCCAACCAACTTTGGTTGATTTTAGTAAGGTATAATTACAAAATTTAATCACTAAACTTTAGGGTATTTACAAGATTAAGTCCTTAAGATTTAGCTATAAGTATCCTAGCCCATTTAGCTTCAAAACCATCCCAAAGCATTCTAGCTTTCTTCTAATACTAGAGAGAATTTAGAGAGTTTCTTGAGAGTTGTTTTCTCCTTTTTATCAAGAGAGAATTATCATTGTTTTCTCCTTGGTAAATCGAGAGAGGTTGTAATTCCTATTTTTCTCATAGTGAAATTCTTCTACCGTTGCCCGTGGTTTTTACCCTATATTATTTAGGGGTTTTCCACGTAAATTTTGTGTCTCTTTTATCTTCATTTTTATTTTCTCAAATTATCAGTTGCGATTTTGCTCTATCCGATAGCCGTCTTCCGCAACAATTGGTATCCGAGCCAGATTTGAGTGTGTAATATATATGCTTATTGTCTTTGTGGTTACCACCAAAAGGTGGATCCTCCAACATAAGAAAGTAAGAAGTTATTACCCATTCTTTGAAGGTTCCAGAGAACTATTCACGATAGTGAAATAGTGGGAGCTATCCGTAAAAGAAGCTATGGCAACGAAATTTGATATTGAAAAGTTCAATGGGAGAAATTTCTCATTGTGGAAATTAAAGATGAAGGCCATTCTGAGGAAAGACGGGTGTCTAGCGGATATCAGTGAAAGGCCGATGGATTTTGCAGATGACAACAAATGGATCGAAATGGACGGAAATGCTATGAAAAACTTTCATCTAGCATTAGCAGATGAAGTATTGTCAAGCATCGAGGAGAAAAAGACAGCTAAGAAGATATGAGATCATCTCACCAAATTGTACGAGGCCACATCGTTGCACAATAAAATTTTCCTTAAGAGGAAATTGTATACTCTCCGTATGCCAGAATCTACTTCAATGACAGAGCACTTAAACACACTGAACACTTTATTTTTCTCAGCTTACATCCTTAAGCTGTAAAATAGGAGAACAAGAACGTGCTGAACTTCTACTTCAAAGTCTACCAGATTCGTATGATCAACTCATCATCAACTTGACAAACAGTAATGTCACCAGTCTAGTCTTCGATGACATTGCAGCTGCTGTTCTACAAGAAGAAAATCGGTTCAAGAACAAGGAAGACAGACAAGTAAATCTGCAACAAGTAGAAGCATTGACAACGATGAGAGGGAGATCAACAGAACGTGGCCAAAGCAGCAGTCACAAACATGGTAGATCAAAGTCGAGGAGCAAGAAGAATTTAAAGTGTTACAACTGTGGAAAGAAGGGTCACTTGAAGAAGGATTGTTGGAGTCTAAATAAAAACTCCAATCCACAAGGCAATACTGCAAACACTTCAGATGATG